TATTTTATTTATTATTTATTTCTATTTTTATTTTATTTCTATTTTTTTATTTTAAGGCAGGGACTCACTAAGTTGCTAAAGTTGAGTTGCTGAGTTGTACTTGAAATTTTGATCCTCCTGCCTCAGCCTCCCAAGGTACTGGAATTACAGGCGTGTGCCACCACACTCAGATGCATTCAATTTTGGGGACGGTAAACTAGAAATCTTTCCAAGTGGAAATTACTAAGAACCAATTAAAACTACAGTCTGAAGACAAGGGTGAAAACTGGGTCAAGGACAGATTTGGGAGCTATCAAGGGAAAGCTGGTGACGGAAGCCACAAACCTGGACAAGGCTCCAGAGACAGTGGAATAAGCAAAGAAGAGAGCACAGGAGAGAACCTGGGGGCAGTAGAGACAGAATCACAAAAGAGACAAAAAGAGCAGCCTAAGAGGCTGGGGAACAGATAAACGCATAAGTGCATGTTCTCCTGGTAATGAAAAGAATGAGTGTTTCCAAAAAATAGATATATCAACAGTGCCAAATTTCAATGCAAACTCAGGAAAGGTAAGGATTAAAAAATGCCTTGAATTTGGCAACTAGGAAGTCTTTTGTCTATTTCTGAGAAAGGTGGAAAGGAAGACATCATAGGATAAATGGAAAACTAGGGAGAGGGGCCTGGGATTTAGCTCAGTGGTTTCACCACCTGCTGCGCAAGTGCAAGGACCCGATTTTGATCCCTGGTACCAAAAGAAACCAGCACTTTTAACAGTACCCTTGCAGATATATTTAAGACTGAAATATTTTGGGCTGGGGATTTAGCTCAGTGGTCCCAGCATCTGCCTCGCAAGCGCAAGGTCCCAAGTTTGATCCCCGGTACCAAAAAAAAGAAAAAAAAAAGTAGAGACTCCAGATGTGGGCTTCTTTTCAGGAAGTGTAGCTCCTAAGAAAAGGAAAGAAGGAAGGTATAAGAGGGAGGACAGGTCGTAGAGGGATCACTGGTTTGTTTGCATTGTTTCAAGCTATAGACACAAGTATACTTAAATTATATGATGATGGTAATAGGGAAAAAAACAGAAGTACGAATATATGAACATAGTCAGGTCCTCCAAAATGAAGAAAACACAGCCAAGTTTTCATCAAGACAACTAACTGCCTAGTTTACAAACATACTCAAGTCGTGTTAACACTCATTAGCTGGTGAAATAAAGCACAAACTGGACACATTTTAAATCATAAAGCAGCACATTACAGAAATAAAAATGCTTGTTAAAAGACTGCTATTAAGGCTTTTTCCTTTCCTCTGTTAAAATGATGACTTTTGGGGGTGGATCTTCCAATGCTGAACCAACACTGCCATCCCTATAATAAAACCACTTTCTA